CTGGCCTTGCCTGCAATTTGACCCGGCCTCATTGCCCATATAAGGTTAAGCTCCTCACCATCTCCTGTGACTACTCCTATTACAAACCTTAACTACTACCCCCCCTCCCCAGTCACAATTGGCAGAAGCAAATCAAGCAAACTCCCATTGACTGCTATGTTTTGTAAATTAACAATGGTTGGTTGATGCAGGTTCTGACATGATGTATTTCTCAGATACAGTGATACTGCTGCTGAAACACATCAGAGAATGGGTTAAAGGAGTGAGCAGACTGAACTGCTTTAATATTTTAGAAGCTTTCCTTATCATAAAAATCAGAACAAGATTCAAATCTATACAGCAGACACATTTGCTACTTTGTCCAAGCCAAACTTTTTGACTCTGGTTCTTTTTTGGATATAAAGAGCTGTTTCTTGCCCCAGTATTTTAGTAACCCAAAGGCATCTGCAGTATGAATACAAGAGATTGGTACAATTTGGTTAATTATTCTTTCTGCAGTCAGTATTATAAGGGTGCAAGTCTAATTTTTAATTTAGTCTTTCATTTGAAGATATAAATCCTTTATGTTTTAAGAGAAAGCATGGCCCAATTCCACTTAAAGACTACGCCAAAATATGCTTGATGAGGAGACAATACAGGTGGAAACATGGAGGTTAAGCAGTCTATAAACTAGACTTTTTCTATTGTTATTGTTACTGTTGTTGTTAAAACAACAACACTGATAACTTGTAATGAACAAATACATTTATATGTATGTGGAACTATTTTAGAAAAATCTGTATAGCTTAAAAATGAATTAAAATAACTAAAAACAAAAGAAACAGAAAACTGAAGGGGAGAAAAAATAGTAAAAGATAAAAGGAAACAAATGGTGCCAAAAGAAAAAAAAATCAGTAATAAAGAGTACAAAGTACTTAGCATGTCATGATTTCCCTACATTTTCACTCTCAGAATCTAGATTTTATGTGCATGCAAATCATTACAGTTCAGTTTCAGATGACCTATTAAGCCAAGACCATATAGAATTGCATTGTCCAAGGCTGAGAAACAGGGTGAGCTCCTGTTTCCTCCCCAGTTCCTGTCAACCCAACAGTTCGAAAACTCAGGTGAGTAGATAAATGGGTAC